GTCCCATGTTAACCTTTACCACCTGCACAGTCTTTCAAGTGCTCACCAGTCATCTTGTTGTAAACATCTTAATGCGAACCATTCCTTGACATACACGACCCCGGGGGGGGGGGGGGCGCCCTTGTGTCTGTCTCTCTCTCTCTCTCTCTCTCTCTCTCTCTCTCTCTCTCTCTCTCTCTCTCTCTGAGAGAGAGAGAGAGAATTTTATTGAGCCATTGAGCTGAAATAGGAAATTTAAGTTGAGTGGACATTCTGGAGACGACAGCGGCGAACCCTCACTCTCCCATGTTTGGTGAGCGACTGGGAGACTGGGAGGGAGGGCCCCCAGCGATGGGTCAAGACATGTTCCCAGGTGGACCCGGCCAGGATGGGGGAGGACCCATCGTGGCGACGCCATAGTGTTTAAAGAGATGTCGGATAGAGTTTATTTTCTGTGAATACATTTAATTATGTTTTGTTAGGAAAACATTTATTATTGCATGATGATGGATTTGCAGGTTTGTGTGGGAGAACTGCAACGTTTGTGTGGGAGAAGTTAGTGAGAGAACTTCGTACCGAAGGAGGAGTATAAGCTGAACTACAAGGTGGTGTAGGACTTCAAGTTGAGGAGTGGAACTCCAGTGACAGTGAAACTTCAAGTACGGTAGAGTGCTACACATCCTTTGTGTGAAACCGTGTGAGAGAGCTTCACTGACATTCGAGGAGGACTTCAGATGCAGCAGATTGGAGGAACAGCATGGAGTACCTAACCTGATTTTGTGGACCCAGACAGATGTATTTGATAGTGGACCTCGAGGAATAGAACAGACGACCGTTCGGACATTTTGAGGTTTAAGGGAGTGCTTGATTGCGTTTTTGGAGTGAAAGGCGCAGTACAAGGTGAGAAGTTGATGTCTGTTTTAAAGTAGGAGATATATGAATATTTTTGTACCCTGTATTTCAGCCCAAAGCAGTGAAGGATGCAGTAGGTTGTGAGCTGAGGAGTGAGCAGCAACCTAGTACGGTTATAGGATGAAGACCGAGGGGGAATGTTGAAGTGTTATCAGTTGGTAGCAGCCTAAGGAGTTGCATAGTAATATCACTATTCTTGTATATAAACACATACGTATATATATATATATATATATATATATATATATATATATATATATATATATATATATATATATATATATATATATATAGAATTGATTTTTCAATTACCATCGACAGTAAAAACATAAAAAATATTGAGAAAATTCGTGTTACAATTATAAATCTTACTTTTTCGGTCATATTTAACAACATATGTTTACAAGAAAGACTGCTACTGGTAGTGGACTACAACTAAGGGGGGATTGAGAGATCATCCCACAGTAATGGTGAACACTGCGGGGAGTCACAGCGGCTCGAGAGTGGGTGTGTACACATGACAACTAGGCAGTGTGAGCCGTACCCCTGAATAAAGGTGATGCTGAACCCCTCTCCCAAAACCCGACGCTTACCAGGCTGATCTCCCAAATAATTGCAAGCACTCCAGTGTCCATTGCTGGTCGACCAATGGTAGCAGGAGTGTGGCTACCGAGGTCGGCTGTTTGTTCTGTCAGGGGGTGGTTGGGGTCTCTGTTCGACGGTAAGCAAGTATCAGGTTGGTTCAGATAACCAAGTTTCACTGTATTCCAGCCCCTAACTCCCCTTGATAGTAGAACAATGGGTACTATTGAGCAGAGAGTTCTGGTCGGGTTAGACATAAAACCCGCCATCTACTGCAGTTATGTCGACAACATATTTGTAGAAGTCCTGGATATCGAGCGACTGTTGCAGTTGAAGGAAGCTTTCAAGCAAAGCTCAGATGTAGCAGTTATGGAAAGGAACGGCAGCTTTCATCATGCAGTACATACTAATGAGACAAACAGGGATGTGCCTTAACGCTGACAGCGACTGCCCGGAGAGATACAAACGGAGTGTTGTGAATGCTTACGTCGACCGAGCTCTCACTCACAGCTCTGGGTGGAAGCAGGTGGAGGAGGAGTTATGTAGAATAATGCAGATTTTGGTCAATATTAGTTTCTCCAATGGTTACGTCGAAGACAACATAAAAAATGTGGCGGCGAGGTGTGCAACAGGCGACGGAACACCCACTACTACAATACCCGGACTTCCAATAAAATTATTCAACAGAAACTTCTTCTCCACAACCTACAAAGCAGAGGAAAGAGCCCTAATAAGAGATCATTGAGAGGAATGTTACCCCCAACTGACGTCAACCAAAAGATAAAACTAACACTATATAAGAGTAGGAAACCCGCCAACCTGCTAATGAAGAATTCTCCCGACACCAAGAAACACGCCTTGAAAGAGACCAACGTTGTCTACGCCTTCACGTGCCCACTTGGGGATTGTCAGCCGCAACGATCTCAGTATATAGGCAAGACAATGACGTCCTTCTCGAGGCGTTTAACAATGCACAAACAACAAGGCTCCATCAAGGCGCATATAATCGCCACACACGAGATTATTATTATATATATATATATATATATATATATATATATATATATATATATATATATATATATATATATATATATATAAAATTGGCTGGAAAATGTTTCAAAAGTCTCAAAATCACTTCAAGACGATCTAGATACCCGCTTGAAATGGTGGAAAAACTGGCAGATGCAGTTTAATGTACAGTTGAGAGTCTAGGTGGTGATGATGGTAGAGTTTAGAGGTTATCAGCTGGAGGGTGTTGAGATTGTCAAGTCTGATTGCGATAAAGAACTGCGAGTCAAGATTTCTAGGAATTTAACGCAAAAAAAAAAATCAATGCATAAATGTTCAAAATAAATTAAATAGGACTCTGATTTATTTCTGGAAGCATTAGCAACAATACATCTGTTGTTGATCATCAGCTGTATCTTGCTCTTGTTTGGCCCCATCTAGATTATGTAGTTCAGTTTTGATAAATTCATAAATGATGATAAATTCACTAGAGCGCGTCCAGCGTTGGATGACCACAAATTATAAAGCTTTCGCATAAAGAGAGATTGACAAAGCTTACTTTACATTCACAAGAAAGGCGATGAGTTAGTTGTGACATGATTGAGGTATACAAGTGGGTGATTGGGCGTAAGGGAGATATTAATATATTATATCAACACAAAATAGAACGCGACACAATGGATATAAATTAAATAAATTTGGATTTAGGAAAGACTTGGGTAAATACTGGTTTGGAAAGTTTGATTTATGGAACCTATTACCGGTAACATAACTGACGCGGGATCACTTGCTTACCTGGTTGATGGGGTTCTGAGAGTTCTTCCACTCCCCAAGCCCGGCCCGAGGCCAGGGTTGACTTGTGAGAGTTTGGTCCACCAGGCTGTTGCTTGCAGTGGCTCACAGACCTACTGAGAGCTTGTTTCAAGCGTAGGTTAGACATATGCCACGTGTGAGCCAGTAGGCCTTCTGCAGTTTCCTGGGTGCTTGTGTGATGACCGTGGACACAGACCAGCCCACCTGGAACCTAAACTTAATAAGATGAAGGAAAATACTTACCTGACACGTCTCTGAGGGGAAGGTAATTACCAGGTGAGGGGAAGGTAATTACCAGGTGAGGGGAAGGTAATTACCAGGTGAGGGGGAAGGTAATTACCAGGTGAGGGGAAGGTAGTTACCAGGTGAGGGGAAGGTAAGGTAATTATTACCAGGTGAGGAGAAGGTAATTACTAGGTGAAGGGAGGGTAATTACCAGGTGAGGGGAAGGTAATTACCAGGTGAGGGGAAGGTAGTTACCAGGTGAGGGGAAGGTAAGGGGAATTATTACCAGGTGAGGAGAAGGTAATTACTAGGTGAAGGGAGGGTAATTACCAGGTGAGGGGAAGGTAATTACCAGGTGAGGGGAAGGTAATTACCAGGTGAGGGGAAGGTAATTACCAGGTGAGGGGAAGGTAATTACCAGGTGAGGGGAAGGTAATTACCAGGTACCAGGTGAGGGGGAAGGTAATTACCAGGTGAAGGTAATTACCAGGTGAGGGGAAGGTAATTACCAGGTGAGGGGAAGGTAATTACCAGGTGAGGGGAAGGTAATTACCAGGTGAGGGGAAGGTAATTACCAGGTGAGGGGGAAGGTAATTACCAGGTGAGGGGGAAGGTAATTACCAGGTGAGGGGAAGGTAATTACCAGGTGAGGGGAAGGTAATTACCAGGTGAGGGGAAGGTAATTACCAGGTGAGGGGGAAGGTAATTACCAGGTGATGGGAGGGTAATTACCAGGTGATGGGAAGGTAATTACCAGGTGAGGGGAAGGTAATTACCAGGTGAGGGGAAGGTAATTACCTGGTGAGGGGAGGGTAATTACCAGGTGATGGGAGGGTAATTACCAGGTGATGGGAGGGTAATTACCAGGTGATGGGAGGGTAATTACCAGGTGATGGGAGGGTAATTACCAGGTGATGGGAGGGTAATTACCAGGTGAGGGGAAGGTAATTACCAGGTGATGGGAAGGTAATTACCAGGTGAGGGGAAGGTAATTACCAGGTGAGGGGAAGGTAATTACCAGGTGAGGGGAAGGTAATTACCAGGTGAGGGGAAGGTAATTACCTGGTGAGGGGAAGGTAATTACCAGGTGAGGGGAAGGTAATTACCAGGTGAGGGGAAGGTAATTACCAGGTGAGGGGAAGGTAATTACCAGGTGAGGGGAAGGTAATTACCAGGTGAGGGGAAGGTAATTACCAGGTGAGGAGAAGGTAATTACCAGGTGAAGGGAGGGTAATTACCAGGTGAGGGGAAGGTAATTACCAGGTGAGGGGAGGGTAATTACCAGGTGAGGGGAGGGTAATTACCAGGTATGGAGGAGAGGCCGCAGGTGAGGAAAGCAACAATGGCGGCAGTAAGAGAAGTGAAAGAAGCCATGAGAGAAGGAAGGAAGGAACTATCAGGGGGGAAAGCGCCAAGCCATTACGACAATATAGTACTTGGAAGGGGTCAGGATAAGAAGCCATGAAAGAGAGATTTACCTTCTTAGGTCGTGAGGGTTGAGAGGGAGAGGCGAGGAGGAGGTCGGTGAGGCCCAGGAAGCAGTCGTCGCAGGGGCACGACGACCCGTCGCTGCTGCTACTGACGGAGGTCAAGGAAGAGGCCATAGAGGCGCCACTCTCAACACTGTCTGTCCTCACCAGGCCTCGCCACCCGCCCTTTTTCGCCGCCAGCACCGCCTCCAGTAGGGAGTCGCGCCGCCCTAAGGGCTCACGTGACTCCTGCTCCTCCAAGGCTGAGCCTCGGCGGGAGTACTGTCCTCGGGAGTCCCTCGAGGGGCGGCGGCTGAGAGGATCCTTGAGGTCGTCCTCCAGAAGGGAGGCACGGCGGCTCGGACTGCCGTGCTCCTCCGGCACGGACTCCAAGTACGAGTTCTGCCGTGTCAAGCCTGGACTCATCCAGTAGTCTGAAGACTCCTCCTCGAAGGCCGAGTCGGCGCCCTCGACGCTCTCATCCTCCATGAAGGTGTCGAGGGAGATGTTGAGGTGTCGAGTCGTAGCCTCAAGCTCCCTAATGCAGTCGTCTGTCGTCGTGCTGGCCAGCTTAAGCGACGCGTCGTCCCTGCGCGTTGTCGTTGTCGACGACCTCAAGGTCTTGGGGCAGAAGTCGTGGTGGTGCCTGGACGACCTGTCGCCGCCCTGTCCCTCCCCGCCTGTCATGCTGCCACAAGAGCAGTAGCAGGAACCCCAGCCAGTGTCACGTAGCTCCGTCACTCATGGCCAATAGCAGTGCCACTCCAGAGGGGCACTCTGGTGCTTCCCTCTGCCTCGAGTGCAAGCACACCACACCTGTCACCACACCTCACAACACTGCTTGTGTTATCTTTCAAGATTCACTTGTTCACTAGGGGGGGGGGTAGATAGCGATTACACAATAAATCAAAACCTGCAAATTATCGTTATCCAACGCGCGCGCGCGCGTGTGTGTGTGTGTGTGTGTGTGTGTGTGTGTGTGTGTGTGTGTGTGTGTGTGTGTGTGTGTGTGTGTGTGTGTGTGAGAGAGAGAGAGAGAGAGAGAGAGCGAGACCTGCGTGTGTGTGGCTACACACACACACACACACACATGCACACTCTATACCTGCTAAGCCAACACTGCAAGCCTGTATCCTTAACCACATACACACACACATGCAGGCGTATGCACACAGGATGTCAACTTCCGCCCCATTATCACCACTGCATCACCGCTGACGTCACGGAACGATGTTTGCGTCAGTGCTTGACGATACTGAACGTTCTTTGCGTCACAGTTTGACACGTAACATTCTTTGCGTCAAAGCTTGACGAGACGGAACGATGTTTGCGTCAAAGTTTGAAGACAAGTAACGATATTTGCGTCAAAGCTTGACGACACATAACAATGTTTGCGTTACTTGGAGGAATGCGAGGCATTCCAGCGAGCCGCAAGCATCAGTAGCTGAGTGAGGCCGATGCGGTGACTGACTGAATCTGCTGAGAATCAATGTTGGTTTACGGGGCAGGCGACGCGACTGCGTGGAAGGCAGCAGCAGCAGCAGCAGACCAGCGTGTGAGAGTTTAGACTGAGAGGAACCAGCCTACAGCAGCCTCAATGTGTGTGTGCCAAGGAGGAACTGCCGGTGGAGGAGCACGTCTGTCGAGGACGAGCAAGTCTACAGCCCAACTGTAGACCTGTGAGGAAGCTATGAACAAGTAAACTCCTTGACTTTACTAGGGTTTACCTTCTCCCCTCCATTCTCTTTGTGTGATTTTGAGAGAGAGTTATTATGCCTCGCCCATGTGTGTGAAGGTACCAGACTGGGCAATTATAACCCGCCACTGAGATTAGATTTTTACTTAGTATTACTGGAGCCGCGAAGCTGCGCGGACCCAGTAGGCGACCTTGGAGTGTTAGTGTTGGGCGGCGCTGGCTAGGTGGACCTGAGCTTCCGTGTCTACCGACACCTGCCACGAGGACCAGGAGGACCCCTAGTGGACCCGCGTGTTCCCTAGTGGGTCCGCGTGTTCCCCTAGTGGGTCCGCGTGTTCCCTAGTGGGTCCGCGTGTTCCCTAGTGGGTCCGCGTGTTCCCTAGTGGGTCCGCGTGTTCCCTAGTGGGTCCACGTGTTCCCCTAGTGGGTCCACGTGTTCCCCTAGTGGGTCCACGTGTTCCCCTAGTGGGTCCACGTGTTCCCCTAGTGGGTCCACGTGTTCCCCTAGTGGGTCCACGTGTTCCCCTAGTGGGTCCACGTGTTCCCCTAGTGGGTCCACGTGTTCCCCTAGTGGGTCCACGTGTTCCCCTAGTGGGTCCACGTGTTCCCCTAGTGGGTCCACGTGTTCCCCTAGTGGGTCCACGTGTTCCCCTAGTGGGTCCACGTGTTCCCCTAGTGGGTCCACGTGTTCCCCTAGTCGACCCACGTGTGCCCTAGTCGACCCACGTGTGCCCTAGTGGACCCACGTGTGCCCTAGTCGACCCACGTGTGCCCTAGTCGACCCACGTGTGCCCTAGTCGACCCACGTGTGCCCTAGTCGACCCACGTGTGCCCTAGTCGACCCACCTGTTCCCTAGTGGACCCACCTGTTCCCTAGTGGACCCACCTGTTCCCTAGTGGACCCACCTGTTCCCTAGTGGACCCACCTGTTCCCTAGTGGACCCACCTGTTCCCTAGTGGACCCACCTGTTCCCTAGTGGACCCACCTGTTCCCTAGTGGACCCACCTGTTCCCTAGTGGACCCACCTGTTCCCTAGTGGACCCACGTGTTCCCTAGTGGACCCACGTGTTCCCTAGTGGACCCACCTGTTCCCTAGTGGACCCACCTGTTCCCTAGTGGACCCACATGTTCCCTAGTGGACCCACATGTTCCCTAGTGGACCCACATGTTCCCTAGTGGACCCACGTCTTCCCTAGTGGACCCACGTCTTCCCTAGTGGACCCACGTCTTCCCTAGTGGACCCACCTGTTCCCTAGTGGACCCACGTGTTCCCTAGTGGACCCACCTGTTCCCTAGTGGACCCACCTGTTCCCTAGTGGACCCACCTGTTCCCTAGTGGACCCACATGTTCCCTAGTGGACCCACATGTTCCCTAGTGGACCCACATGTTCCCTAGTGGACCCACGTCTTCCCTAGTGGACCCACGTCTTCCCTAGTGGACCCACCTGTTCCCTAGTGGACCCACCTGTTCCCTAGTGGACCCACATGTTCCCTAGTGGACCCACTTGTTCCCTAGTGGACCCACCTGTTCCCTAGTGGACCCACATGTTCCCTAGTGGACCCACGTCTTCCCTAGTGGACCCACGTCTTCCCTAGTGGACCCACCTGTTCCCTAGTGGACCCACCTGTTCCCTAGTGGACCCACATGTTCCCTAGTGGACCCACTTGTTCCCTAGTGGACCCACCTGTTCCCTAGTGGACCCATGTTAAGTTAGGTTAGTTTAGTAACAATCCAACTGCTGTAAACTAGTGCCATTTGACACCTTAATGAGTCATCATTAATAACGATGATGCCTGTGTTGTGATTATGTAAATCACATAATTTGTATATATATATATGCTGTGTCCTGTAGATCACTTCGCCCCAGTAAACTGGTGGTTTGACTCAAGACGTTCACTCAACCCTAAACATTTGTTGTGAATGAGTAACTTGAAGCCCGGAGGTTTACTGATTACACGAGGGGGAACGTTCTACACCGAGCAAGAAAGTCTTGTTTGGGGTTAGTTTAGTTCATTTATTATGCACCCCATACCCCATCATGTGGGCGGTAGTGGAAAGGGTTACAGAGGCACATAATGGGCTCAGGGACTGAACCCCACAATTCATTTAGCTAAGCAAGCTACAATCTTGATGAGCTAGTTACAACATTCAGTATAAGTCGTTACATCAACAATGGGTTCGAGATCGACCTCAAGTACAGGTGGTCACACTTTATACAAAGCTACGGTTCAGAACTACAGTCACATTAACGGGAACAACATCAACGGGGAACATCAACGGGAACAACATCAACGGGACAACATCAACGGGAACAACATCAACGGGAACAACATCAACGGGAACAACATCAACGGGAACAACATCAATTTTGCTGGGTCACCCATGCCCATCCAAATAGGGAGCGATATACCTTCCTGTCTGGCTCTGGGTACAGCCACAAGAGACACTAAAATAGGTTCATTTGTAAAAAACTTCACTTTTTGTCTGTAAGAGATGTCCTTGCTGGAGGGCCTGGCACATTCAAACAAAAACACAACTTCGCAACGACAGAGTTACGTCAGTAAGGACTACCGGACCAGTAGCAGACCCGACAAGGACATCTGGCCATCATAACAACGACAAACACGGAGATTGGCCCCTTCAGTAGCCAATCAGAACAATTTTAGTAGGGTAAAAGGTTTACCCATGAGCTATGGGAAGGGAAAGCTCCCAGCCTGCTAACAGGAGTCAGAAGGCTCCTGTACCCTCCTGTGTGTAAAACTAGTAGGGTAAGGCTTACCATGAGCTATGGGAAGGGAAAGCTCTCAGCCAGCTAACAGGAGTCAGCAGTCGTCTGCTCCTGTACCCTCCTGTGTGTAAAACTAGTAGGGTAAGGCTTACCATGAGCTATGGGAAGGGAAAGCTCTCAGCCTGCTAACAGGAGTCAGCAGTCGTCTGCTCCTGTACCCACCTGTGTGTAAAACTAGTAGGGTAAGGCTTACCATGAGCTATGGGAAGGGAAAGCTCTCAGCCTGCTAACAGGAGCCAGCAGTCGTCTGCTCCTGTACCCTCCTGTGTGTAAAACTAGTAGGGTAAGGCTTACCATGAGCTATGGGAAGGGAAAGCTCTCAGCCAGCTAACAGGAGCCAGCAGTCGTCTGCTCCTGTACCCACCTGTGTGTAAAACTAGTAGGGTAAGGCTTACCATGAGCTATGGGAAGGGAAAGCTCTCAGCCAGCTAACAGGAGCCAGCAGTCGTCTGCTCCTGTACCCACCTGTGTGTAAAACTAGTAGGGTAAGGCTTACCATGAGCTATGGGAAGGGAAAGCTCTCAGCCAGCTAACAGGAGCCAGCAGTCGTCTGCTCCTGTACCCTCCTGTGTGTAAAACTAGTAGGGTAAGGCTTACCATGAGCTATGGGAAGGGAAAGCTCTCAGCCTGCTAACAGGAGTCAGCTGTCGTCTGCTCCTGTACCCTCCTGTGTGTAAAACTAGTAGGGTAAGGCTTACCATGAGCTATGGGAAGGGAAAGCTCTCAGCCTGCTAACAGGAGTCAGCAGTCGTCTGCTCCTGTACCCTCCTGTGTGTAAAACTAGTAGGGTAAGGCTTACCATGAGCTATGGGAAGGGAAAGCTCTCAGCCAGCTAACAGGAGTCAGCAGTCGTCTGCTCCTGTACCCTCCTGTGTGTAAAACTAGTAGGGTAAGGCTTACCATGAGCTATGGGAAGGGAAAGCTCTCAGCCAGCTAACAGGAGCCAGCAGTCGTCTGCTCCTGTACCCTCCTGTGTGTAAAACTAGTAGGGTAAGGCTTACCATGAGCTATGGGAAGGGAAAGCTCTCAGCCTGCTAACAGGAGTCAGCTGTCGTCTGCTCCTGTACCCTCCTGTGTGTAAAACTAGTAGGGTAAGGCTTACCATGAGCTATGGGAAGGGAAAGCTCTCAGCCTGCTAACAGGAGTCAGCAGTCGTCTGCTCCTGTACCCTCCTGTGTGTAAAACTAGTAGTGTAAGGCTTACCATGAGCTATGGGAAGGGAAAGCTCTCAGCCAGCTAACAGGAGTCAGCAGTCGTCTGCTCCTGTACCCTCCTGTGTGTAAAACTAGTAGGGTAAGGCTTACCATGAGCTATGGGAAGGGAAAGCTCTCAGCCAGCTAACAGGAGCCAGCAGTCGTCTGCTCCTGTACCCTCCTGTGTGTAAA